AACCCGCCCCCTCCCCCTGCCCTCCGCCGACAACCCCCCCACCAAACCCGACCCCTTCCCCTGTCCTCCATCCCCTCTCCTGCACCGCTCGCACATCCTGCACCCCTCCATGCTCTGCACCCCTCTCTCCCTCCTTCCTTCCCTACCTCCTTCCATCCTCCACCCTCTCCCTCCCTACCTTCAGAGTGTAATCCCTCCCTCCTGAGTGAATCTCGAGTTGACCCTCCTCAGCCTCCAGGTCGTAGGTGAAGGAGGCATCGGCGACGTCGATGAAACCGAGCGGGATGGCGTCGCTTGGGCCCTTGAAGTAATACAGGTAGCAGTGGAGGGGCTCGAATACGAACCAGCGGCTCTTGAAGCCTTTGAGCGGCCCCTTCCCAGACAGTTTGTTGAGGTAACCGCACAGCCTGGGCGGCAGCTCCCGGCTCACACTCACCGGACTCGAGGCCGCCAGCTCTGTGAGCTGGCCAGGCAACGAGTCCCCGTGCCGCTCATCAACCTCCTCCCTCATAATCCGAGCAGAGTGAAGTGGTCAGCTCAGTGACCGGGTGAAACGGCGAGGCCACACCGCCCACCTACCCTCCGGCCATGGAGCTGGTGAGCTCCGTCTGACAGCGCCGAACCGGCCGCTGGGAGTTGTAGTCCATGACCTGGTGTTGGCTGTGATGGGGAAAAGACTACAACTCCCGGCGATCCCCACGCTTGCACATGCGTATACCGTGTCAACTACATTTCCCAGAATGCACGACGCCGTAAACCGACCATATGTTTCCCCGGCGGTGATGATCAGTGACCTCTGCTTTCTTTCCAGACACTGCCAGACCTGCTGAGCTTTTCCAGCAACTTTTATTTTTGTTGTGATGATCAGGGCGCCTGCGCATGTAGCCCAAACTGCAACACGTCCATCCTGGGCCTCCTCCAGTGCCACAATGACGCCACCCACAAACTAGAGAAGCAACACCTCATATTCCGCTTTGGGAGCCTACAGCCCGATGGCCTAAACATGGATACAGAGATAGTAGGAACTACAGATGCTGGAGAATCCGAGACAACAAGGTGCAGGGCTGGATGAACACAGCAGGCCAAGCAGCATCATAGGAGCAGAAAGGCTGACGTTCCGGGCCTAGAAAAAAATCTCCCCACCCCACCGGCCTCATCCCAC